CCTGGAGGCTGCTCGGGCTGAGCTTGGCGACGGCTCCCTCGATGCCTCTCCTGCATGCGGATACCTCTCTGCTGTGGCCTCAGCCGCGGAGCCACGCCCACGCTTGATCCGCGCGAATCGCTGCTGCAGCCGTCGCCGCCGCTGAATGAAGACCGACGCAAAGAAATGGAGCCTTTATCCCACCGCTACTGAAACTGAATGAAGGAAGGCGGAATCCTTGCTCCTCCCGCCTCCTTCCCCCATTTTCGTTCTCCTTGCTGCGCGTTTATTTTTCTCCCCGGCCAAAGGTCGCAATGAGGTATGAGCGCTATCCGCAGAACAAAGACTTGAGTGCATTCGGCTGTTTGTTTTGCTCCTCGTTTACCCCGCGAGAGGAGGAGAGGGCGGCGGCGAGGGAGCGACGGGAAAAGAGAGGGAGAGAGAGAGGGAAAGAGAGAAAGATGCTAGGAGTGCGGGTGAGCGAGCAAGCCCTGTAGTGCGCGGTGGAGCTGCTAAAGGTGAAGTAGATTTCCTGCGGCAGATTCCGCCCGCCCGCTCAGTGGTTCTGGCTGGTCGTGGTCCTCTTCATATTGGAGATCGCGACCGGGGTCAGGGGAGCGCGAGAGATACGTCCTATCCCCACCTAACCCGGCCCCGCCCCGCCCGTCCCCACCCACCCCTCGGCCACGGCCCTGGCGTGGTCACGCTACCCGCCCCCGCATTGCCGCCCCGGGGGGGTCGCTCGCTGCCTTTTAGCATATTCGTGTGGATTTTCATCGGCGTTGCACGTGTCGTTATTTTGTAGGTTTCCGCCGTTTACGTTAATGAGTTGACACTTCGACAGTTTCTCTCTCACACGCGAGCACAGGGCGTCGTCGCCCTCCCTCCTGGCGGCCCGGCCCGGGCCGCGGGCGCGCTGCTCAGGGGTGGCCGCGCACCCCTCTCCTCGCTCTGTCGGAGCAGGGGAGGCCATTGAGACTGGCCGGGGCGGGGCGCGGCGGGGCGGGGCGCGGCGTGGCTTTTTGATGGAACTTGGCCGTGATAAGGATCTCTTTTTGGACGACGTGTCGTTCGGTTGTGGAGGACGACCGCTTGGGGGCGCTGCCAGCGCTCATGGAAAAATAAACGTAATTGCAGCCAGCAGTCCGATCCGCGCGCAGCTCGGCGTGTGTGTGGGGGGGGGGTGGGGTGTGGGGGGGGAGGGGGGTTGTTATCGGTTGATAACGCCCCCCGATAAGCTCGGTACCTACCGGTGCCT